TTTTTTTTTTCCATCTTGTATTGGTGGGCCGTTAAACACCGTTAAATGATGTCGTCACTTTCTTCAAAAAGAAAGGGTTGTATTGCGTTTACTTCACATTTTTGTTTCTGTATGTGACGCGGTTGATTAAGATTTTTGTAAGGCAAGGAAATAAACATGTAATTCTTGTTTATTTATATTGCAAATGATTATGTTTTTGTCGACTGATTAAGAAAACAAACTGTTTTTTCTGCATTGATTTTGCATAAAATTTTTTTTTCAGGTTTTGGGCAAGGCAGGAATATTGCTTGAAGCGTCAATATCGACGCCCCGGTTGGTTGACTGAATCCGTCGTTGATTGGGGTAACTGTTTGAAAATTTTTTGTGGATTTTGGAGTACTTTTCAAACCAATCTGTTATTCTCCTGTCACCTGAAGTGCTTTATCTTAGTGCTTTTGTCCCTGAAAATGTATTTAGGAGTTTACCATTTATCACTTGTTGGTTTTGCAGAGAACAATGATCGTATCGGTGGTAATTAGTAGTTTGGTTGTTTTTAGGTTAAAATCTTGTATGCACGAGAAAAAGATGTCGGACGGAAGCAGGAGCAGTGCTGAGGAACGCAGAGGGCGCCGTGAAGAGAAAGAGCTTGATTCGGAAATGCTGCTCATACAGAGCAAACGCTTCTATGTGGACGTCAAAGAGAATAAGCGAGGGCGTTTCATAAAGCTCGCTGAGGTATTGTTGTTTGCCTAAACAGTTGCTCTCACAGCTAAAATCCCGAGTTGTATTGAATAACATGCAGTTTTTTTTCTTTAGGTGAGCCTTGATGGTCGTAGAAACCGATTAACAATGTCAATGTCTGTTGCTGCAAACTTTCGAGATCATTTAGGCAAATTCATAAAGTTTTTTGACGAGATCGGTGAGTCGTCTCTATTGTTTTCATATATCCTTTTCACCTTTTGTTTGTCTCTTTTTATTCTCTTTTATTATGCTTTCCTAACTGCTTTTTTGCTTTAACATTGTTGTTTTTTACTGGTAATAATTTGCTAATTTGATCTAGGTGTAATAAAGAAACACTATCGTTTTGTAGAGAACTTTAAATGAAGGCTCTGTGAAAGTAGTAGGAGTCAATACTAATGGTAGCAACAAAAGGTTTTCATTTTTAAGTGTTGGTGAGGATGGAAAATTCAAAAGGCTATTGGTCATTTTCATGCTCATTCTTTTAGTATGATTCTAAATAGAGATTTCGGGAGTTTTGGAACTGATAACCGTGATAAGTAGTAGTTCTAACGAGTATAATGTGTACATGAAGAAGAGCATCTGGCGCTTTTAGTATCTGACCTTAGAAGAAGAAAAGAGTAGAAAAAGGAGAAAACAGTGATTAGGTTATTTTTAGGGGTGGGGTGGGGAGCGGAACGCTCTGAAGGTATTTTTTTCTAACACATCATAGAGAAATATGACTTTAAGAAAATTTTTATTTACGCGCCACTGCGATAAGACATTTCTCATGGGGTCAAAATGCAGCGTACTTAATTTCTTGTTTTGGAAGATGTCGAGCTGGTAAATCTAGTTTTGAAATCATTTTTTAAAATGAAGAACGATTGATAGTGCGTGGATTACTGACTTGCGCTAAAATTAGGCGAGGATCACACTGCTGAGGAAAATGGTCAGCTGATGTCAGAAGTAATAGTCCGTGATTCGAGGCGGTATTACATGGACTTGAAAGAAAACCGTCGTGGCCGTTACTTGCGTGTGTCTCAAACTGTTATTCGTAGTATGTACGGCACTGTTCGCCCTCAAGTAAGTTTTCGTCAGAAATATTCGTCTTTTGTCAATTTAAGCTTTGTAACGCTTCCTTCACTGAAAAAGAATTTTGCATTTTGTTTCATTTTCATTTGCATTTGTTTCGTTATTTTAGATTGCGCTTCCAGCACCTGGAATGGTTCAGTTGCGTGATGTTTTGAGCAAATTTATTGATAAGTACGGAGAAGGTTATATCAACGAGGTGATTTTGTTAATGCTATTTAGTTTTATTTAGCTTAGCTCCGTGTACCTCATGATTGA